TCTGATGCATCTGTCCGCAACAGAAATGTCTTTTCCAAATCCGGCAACTTTAGAATTGGTGCACTTGCCATGAGCTTCTTCAACGTCTGGAATGCCTGTTCCTGACTATCAGTCCAAACAACAACATTAGGCTTACCCTTCTTTGTCAAATCTGTCAGTGGAACTGCAATGGCTGCAAAGTTTGGAATAAACCGCCTGTAGTAACCAGTTAAACCAATCAAAGATCTCACCTGTTTCTTTGTGGTTGGTCGTGACAATTCCAAGATTGCTGCTAACTTCTTACTGTCAGGAGAAATATTACCTTGACCGACAATATGTCCCAGGAATGGTATAGTATGGTACCCAATCATCACTTTTGAGGGTCTGGCAGTGATATTGTACTGACGTAAACGACTGAAAATAGCTCTCAGACTTACCATGTGATCTGCCCATCTATCAGTTCCTTCAATCACATCATCAATGTAACTGTCTACATGATCTACCCCTCTAAGGACTTTCCTCATTAACCTTGTGAAGACTGCTGAAGCATTAACCATACCAAACGGCATAACTGTCCACTGATATAGCCCATCTGGAGTGATAAACGCTGTATATGCCTTACTTTCCTCCTCCATCGGAATCTGCCAATAAGCTTTACTGATATCAAACTTAGACAGATACTGACACTTACTAAGCCTTGCAAAGAGACTTTCTGCCAAAGTGACTGGTTCTGAATCAAAAAACCGTGATACGATTAATGGCTCTGTAATCTGAACAAAATCTGTAACTACCATCTGGTTTCTTCACTAGCACAATTGGAGAAGCATAAGGTGAATCTGAAGGTTCAATAACACCTAAGTCCAACATAGTCTGTATCTCTGCTGCAACGGTCTCTCTCATATGATGAGGTATTGGATAAGGACGTGACCTAACTGGATCTGAAGAAGTCAACCTGACCTTATATTCCATACAGTTGGTCCTCCCCGGCAAATCTGTCAAAACATCTGAAAATTCTGCCAACAACTCCCTAACGTCTGTCTTCTGCACATCCGACAAATCTTGAGAAATGTTCACATCAAGATAAGTTTCCTTAGCCGTCAAAGGTGGAGAAACAATCTCAGGCAAATCCCCTTCTACATCTGACTCCACATTGTCATCTCCCACATCAACAATGCCTGTACAAACATACTGTGGTAAACTCACACTCACATCACTGACCACTGTACTACAGCTACTAGATTCCCTGTCAATATACTTCTTGAGTAAGTTAGCATGATAAGTCTTCAACTTATCCCCAACTCTAACGCGATAATTGTCAGAACCAAAACTCTCCTCTATCACAAAAGGACCTTTCCATTGTAACAATAACTTGTTGTGATTGGTAGGTAACAGAATTAACACCTTATCACCCGCTTTCATCTGGCGTACCTTCACCTTGCGATTGAAATGCTTCCTGTACCTGCCTGATGCCTTAACCAAAGATTGATGAGCTACCTCAATTGTCTCCTCTAACCTATTCTGTAAGTCCAACACATACTCATAGGTTGTCCTAGTCTCTGGATCTGGAATATCTTTTGTCCACAATTCCCTCAACACCTGAACAGGCCCTCTCACTTTCCTGCCATACAACAACTCGAATGGAGAAAATCCTAGACTTTCCTGAGGTACTTCCCTGTAAGCAAAAAGCAAAGCTGATAAATAACGATCCCAATCAGTTGGTTTCTCAGCACTTAGCCGCTTTAACATCAACTTCAGAGTGCCATTAAACCTCTCAACTAACCCATTACACATAGGATGGTATGGAGTGGTGGTTAACTGCTTGAGGGACAACAATCTACTAACCTCCTTCATGACTGATGACGTAAATTGAGCACCCATATCAGACAACATCTCCTTGGGGACACCTACCCGACTAAATATCTCCAAAAGAGCCTCTGCAACATACTCAGTTTCTATCCTCGGAAGAGCTACAGCTTCAGGATACCTAGTCGCATAGTCAACAACTGTTAGGATGTACCGATTGCCTCTATCAGTTACTGGATATAAAGGACCAATCAAGTCTACGGCTATCCTTTCGAAAGGTGTAGAAATTAATGGCATCTGACCTAAAGGAACCTTGCCAACCTTCCCCTTTGGAATCGTACGCTGACAAACATCACAAGACAAACAGTGCCTCCTAACATCACCTTGCACACCTGGCCAATAAAATTGTGAAATAACCCTGTCCAGCGTTTTCTTCACACCCATGTGACCACCCATCAAAGATTCATGACACACTTTCATAACCTCTGACCTCAACTCTGTAGGAACAACAGCCTGAACAACAGCCAAACCATCATGACTCACATACTCACGATACAACATCTCATTCTCACTGAAATATCGTGACACACCCTTCTCCGTCATCTTCTGTCTACCATCTTGCACCAACTTCCGGACTTTGTCTAACCCAGAATCCTCCTTCTGTTTCTGAATAAACTCTAGCCTACTCAAGGAAATGCCAACAGACTGAAATGTTTTCATTGGTTTCATACCTTGCTCCCTAACCTTCCTCTGACGCCTAGTCTCTACAGCACCAACAGCTTCAACAACCTCTACTACTTCCTCTTCAGGTAATGGATCCTCAGGAGCCCTTGCACCTGGAATATTCCCTAACATAACATCAAACAAAGGAGTCTCCAAACATGCTGCCTTAACTGTGCCCTTGTAAAATGGTGAATCTATAGGAACCCATGCTACTGGTACAGTACAAACCCTACCATCACCCATGGTACAGTTATGAAGCTCACCTTCCACAAAGCAATCCTCATCCACAAGAGATCTCTTGACAACAACTCCATTACAGCCAGAATCACGCAAGACATTCACTGAATGGCCACACAATTTACCAACACGCACTGGCATAGTCCCACACATACCACACATCGTACCTGACGTTGTACCTGACGTCACTAGAGCGTCATCCTCACCTGAATGATCTGTAACACTAGTATCACTTCCTTCCACACCTTGAGAATCTATCTCACTCTTCTCTCCTACTTCTACAACTGGCTCACCGGACACATCACTGACACTCTCAATGACAACACTACCAGCACCTGTATTGCCCTTAAGTTTGGACTTCCACTTAGAACAAGAAGATGCCATATGTCCCAAATCACCACAGCCATAACATTTCCGCTCATGCATCGGCACAAACGTTCTGGAATCCCTCTTCTCACTCTGTACTGACTTCTTCACCTGACTATCTGAGCCCTTCTTGAACCTATCACCACCCTGACTAACTGGATGAACAGATCTACCCGTAACACCTTCCTAGCCTCCACAAAATGTTCTGCTAACCTAGCCATTTCCCCAACAGACTCTGGCTTCCTCTCCTTCAAGAAAATACAAAGGCCTGTACTAACACCATGCAAGAGCTGCTCCCTCAACAACAAATCTCTAATTCCCTCCCAAGTCCTAGCACTGCCACTAAGATCTACCCACCTATCAAAATAATTCCCAACTCTAACTAAGAACTGAGTAAAAGTCTCACCCATCTCTATCCGAGCTGTCCTGAACTTCTGTCGGAACCCTTCCTCAGTCATCTCATACCGCTTCAGCAATGCTTGCTTTACCTCCTTGTAGACCTCCACCTTGTCGGGGTCTAATCGAGGAAGTAAACGTCAAGTGCCTTACCCTTCAATAAGGTGCTGAGAAAGGTTGCCCACCGAACCTCTGGCCATGCCTGTGACTTGGCTACACGCTCAAACCTTTGTAAATAAGCATCGATGTTATCTCTCTGGTCATCAAAGGTGGCATCTTAGGCACATAAGTAACAGATGGTGGCTTACCTTCCTGCTTTATACCTTCACCTACAGTACCCTTCTCCCCCTCTAACTGCAGCTTCTTCTCCTCTAAGTCTAACTTCATGCTCTCTAACTTCATAACCCTTTCCTTTTCCTTGTCCTCATTCTCCAATCTAAGTTTCTCTATCTCTAGTTTCTTCATCTCCCGAACCCTTTCCCGGTCATCCCGTTCTAATCTATCCTTCTCCCTCTCCCTCTCTAAATCTGTCTGTTCCCTTACAAACTGCTGTAAATTCTCCCTGTATAACCTAACTCCTTGCCCAATTTACATATGCCCACTAAATCCATAGTGAAACTAAGCAAAGTATCTACAGGTAAAATGTATACTATCTAATACAAGGTAAGGTTTGAACAAAGGGACCCGTTATACCTCAGCACCCTACAGCCACTAGTACCAAGCAATGAAAATGTGAAGGAAACCAGGCGCACGACACCCAATATACGAGCGTACCACACTCATACGAAAAGTAATTTGGAAATTACTAAATGGACCTACATATCTCACATGTGACAAAAAAAACAAATCCACCGCTGCCACCAAAATGTCACAATGCGAGATAAAACAAAGGTGGTGTTGAAATAAATATAATTTATTTCAAAACAAAATGAAATGGAAAATCAAGAAAAGTTCAAATATTCAGCTTGCACACCCTTTCTCACCTCAAATACATTCATCCAAACATCTCAGTCATATATCACTCAAATACACCTTCAGTACATCACTCAAATACACACTCAGTACTCCATTACACCAGCGGTACCCAATACACTCATACTCCTATACACAATACACAAATCAAATATAGGCATACAAATGAAACATTTACAAAATGTAATATTCCAGTCCATATCTATTTGACGATCGGCTCCTATACAGGAGGTTGCACAGATTAATGGTATGTACAGTTCACGTCCTCACGAACACGGTCACACCCTGTCTGACGATACCCTGAGGCTACCCTGCCCTCCATACTTGTCACTGGACAACGTCCGGTCACAACACTGGTGAGAGGCACTGGTGAGAGGCATCGCTTAGCTGGTCAGCATGCTTGGAGTTGACCCGCCACACTCAACCGGCAATACCTTGAGGCTACCCTGCCCTCCATACTTGGCACTGGACAACGTCCGGTCACAACACTGGTGAGAGGCATCACTTCGCTGGTCAGCATGCTTGGTGTTGACCCGCCACACTCAACTAGCCAGCACACAGGCCGTCAAGCCAATACGGCCCCGACACTACACAAAGACAAAGTACTTGTTACACACAATTGTTTACGTCTTGAGCGTCACATACTCAATGTACACTAATCATTCAATTCACAATTCGAATGATTATACACACTACTACTCGAGTGTAATATACTCAATACACAATCATTCAACACAATACAGAGTATTAAATACTCAGAATGATAATACACAGAGCAATGTCAGCATAATTACACTTAGAATAACATACACGTGTTATTCAACACAGACAAGTGATTATGCCTATACATACTCACTACAGTGACCAACAATTGCCATGTTTACATTTCGCCTGAGTGATGTTTAAATATCAACCTATGACCGACACTGTGCTATTCAATTCAACATTATGGACATAAAAATACAATCTAACAATTTCCATAATTAAATGCAAAATTTACTCACGCCATGATAATTTTCCTGGCTCAGCTTTCACACCGTCGCTCCGCTCTATCATATCACGACTGCACCCGTCACATCAAACCGTCCACTTTTATGACTAAGTCGCAGAAACTGCCTGCTTTTCACGTGCAATCTCACTTCGCACACAGCCCAACTGCACGTACACTCACTCAACCGACACATACAGTTCAACCACACTATAAGAAACATCCAACGTATATACAGCTCAACCACATGTGATCTTGACACTACCCAGAGCCAGCCCAATTCGGCCAGCCAACATAGTACCTCACTCTCCCTACCCAGAGTTCCATGACGCAAGCCAGCATAGTACCTCACTCTCCTACCCAGAGTTCCATTCGGCCAGCCAGCATAGTACCTCACTCTCCTACCCAGAGCTCCATTCGGCCAGCCAGCATAGTACCTCACTCTCCTACCCAGAGTTCCAATCGGCCAGCCAGCATAGTACCTCACTCTCCTCCCCAGAGCAACAATTCGGCCAGCCAGCATAGTACCTCACTCTCCTACCCAGAGTTCCACCTCGGCCAGCCAGCATAGTACCTCACTCTCCTACCCCAGAGCTCCATTCGGCCAGCCAGCATAGTACCTCACTCTCCTACCCAGAGTTCCAATTCGGCCAGCCAGCATAGTACCTCACTCTCCTACCCAGAGCTCCATGACGCAAGCCAGCATAGTACCTCACTCTCCTACCCAGATCTCCATTCGGCCAGCCAGCATAGTACCTCACTCTCCTACCCAGAGCTCCATTCGGCCAGCCAGCATAGTACCTCACTCTCCTACCCAGAGCTCCACCTCGGCCAGCCAGCATAGTACCTCACTCTCCTACCCACCCAGAGTTCCATGACGCAAGCCAGCATAGTACCTCACTCTCCTACCCAGAGCTCCATGACGCAAGCCAGCATAGTACCTCACTCTCCTACCCAGAGCTCCATGACGCAAGCCAGCATAGTACCTCACTCTCCTACCCAGAGTTCCATGACGCAAGCCAGCATAGTACCTCACTCTCCCACCCAGAGCTCCATGACGCAAGCCAGCATAGTACCTCACATTCCTACCCAGAGTTCCATGACGCAAGCCAGCATAGTACATCACTCTCCTACCCAGAGCTCCATGACGCAAGCCAGCATAGTACCTCACTCTCCTACCCAGAGCTCCATGACGCAAGCCAGCATAGTACCTCACTCTCCTACCCAGAGTTCCATGACGCAAGCCAGCATAGTACCTCACTCTCCTACCCAGAGATCCATGACGCAAGCCAGCATAGTACCTCACTCTCCTACCCAGAGCTCCATGACGCAAGCCAGCATAGTACCTCACTCTCCTACCCAGAGCTCCATGACGCAAGCCAGCATAGTACCTCACTCTCCTGCAGAGTTCCAGAGTTCCATTCGGCAAGCCAGCATAGTACCTCACTCTCCTACCCAGAGTTTCATTCGGCCAGCCAGCATAGTACCTCACTCTCCTACCCAGAGCTCCATGACGCAAGCCAGCATAGCACCTCACTCTCCTACCCAGAGTTCCATTCGGCCAGCCAGCATAGTACCTCACTCTCCTACCCAGAGTTCCATTCGGCCAGCCAGCATAGTACCTCACTCTCCTACCCAGAGTTCCATGACGCAAGCCAGCATAGTACCTCACTCTCCTACCCAGATCTCCATTCGGCCAGCCAGCATAGTACCTCACTCTCCTACCCAGAGCTCCATTCGGCCAGCCAGCATAGTACCTCACTCTCCTACCCAGAGCTCCATGACGCAAGCCAGCATAGCACCTCACTCTCCTACCCAGAGTTCCATTCGGCCAGCCAGCATAGTACCTCACTCTCCTACCCAGAGTTCCATTCGGCCAGCCAGCATAGTACCTCACTCTCCTACCCAGAGTTCCAATTCGGCCAGCCAGCATAGTACCTCATTCTCCTACCCAGAGTTCCATGACGCAAGCCAGCATAGTACCTCACTCTCCTACCCAGATCTCCATTCGGCCAGCCAGCATAGTACCTCACTCTCCTACCCAGAGCTCCATTCGGCCAGCCAGCATAGTACCTCACTCTCCTACCCAGAGCTCCATTCGGCCAGCCAGCATAGTACCTCTGCCACAGGCCAGAAAAATGTGACGATTCGTCACATCTGACACAGTCCATTTAATGAAATGTACATATTTCTGGAACTCTTTTATTTTTGACGAGTCTACACATCTAATTAAACATCTTTGATAGAGTGGTGTAGTTTCACTGAGAAAATATCTTAAAACATGTAACACTATTTCGATTTGCGTAGCGATCCTTTGTTTACATAGGTTGTACGGCACCATGTGCTGTCATCGAAGCCAACAGAGAGCAAACGATGCAACCAGATTGATTTCTAAATATGTACTGTCATAAACCTTACTGTCGCAGTTGTGGAAGAATATATATGTAACACTTTATTATGTAAAACATTGTGAAGAGCGCGTCGAAAAGCTTGCCTAAGACCAGTCTCTTCTTATTGTGAATATGCGCGCTTGTTTACAAACAAGAGAAAAGTTCGGTCACGTGATATGCAAATTAGCCTGTGGCAGTGATGTTATGCTAAGTCATCACTGCTGCCGGAGTGTGTCCGGCCTTGTCATGATATATTGTACTGTGAAGCATTTCGAGTCGGGGGTCATCTCAAAGTTATGTATGTTTTTTAAAATCTTTAATCCTCGCAAAGACACGAGGGCCTGTGATTGGTCTCCGTTCGCTTGGACGGCAATTAACAAAAGCCAGACAATCTTTGAAGGGATATTTTACGTACGATTCGTCGGGGGTACATTAAGAAGCGTCGGGTGCTGAAACCTTTCATATCCTAAACCCCAAGTAATCCGGACGGTATTGATTAACGAACCACTAAGTTTGTACAGACATTCCCAAGCCAACGGAAGGCCGAACTAGGTGCCACCGTGGTCCAACGCTGTAACACTCATCTGAATATAGCTGAATGTCACGTCCTATCGGATCGCTAACTGTTTTTATTAATAAGACACATGACACCTATGGATTCCAATCTCTGTATTTTAGGCGCAGCTGTTCGGGGCAACGTCCTCTGTTTTTCGTCGAATGAATAACGCAAATGAAATAGTGCTCTCTCAGTATAGAGAAGTGGATGGATGAAGTCGAGTGGACAGAGGTAACTGAGAGAGTTGTTGTTTTACGCCGCACTCAGTAATATTCCAGCTGTATGACGGTGGTCTGTAAATAACCGAGTCTGGACCAGACAATCCAGTGATCAACAGCATGAGCATCGATCGACACAATTGGGGTACGATGACATGTGTCATCCAAATCAGCGAGCCTGACCACCCGATCCCGTTAGTTGCCTCTGACCAGCTGACATGAGGTTACAGGAGGTGACTAACGCTACAAAGACGTTACTACAGCAAATGTTACAACAGAGATAGTGGTGATCTTAATGATGTTATAAAATATAATATAGATACATAAACAAAACTACTTCTATTATCATAAAACAGGTTCTGCTGAAATGCGTCCATTGAACGGTTCCGACTAATTACATGAAGGTGTTTGTGAATCAGTATCCAATAATGATGATACGAGGCGTTCGGAAAAATGTTTGCGTACCCTGCGTCACCCGTCAGAAACACATGCAAAGGCAAGTCAAATTTACATATGGTGCTTTAAACAGGTCATTGACATCAGGTCACACTCACGCACACACACATGCACATCCACACACTCACACAGTCTTGGATTCGATCATATGCGCGGACCCTCACAATACCGAGAAACGCCACTCTCCATATGTCCATCGACACCGTTTTCTCTGAACTAATGAAATAAGCTCATTTAAAGCATTACCCTGAAAGTCAGTTACAACAATAATGGCGGACTACCAGTTCCCTAGCAACGTAAGGTAATTCTTGGTGGGATAGTATTCACCTTAACTACGTTTATAAGACAAATATTGTCCCCGAGACTCACCTGAGTTGATGGTTGCTACACACACCGTGTGTTTCCTGGCAACACCTGAAGGCTAGTGTCAACGTTCTCGGTCCTGCATTTCAGTACCAGCGATAAGAAACCTACTCTGAACTAAATGGTTTGTATCCTGTATCAGACTGCTTCCACGTGCTAGTCGCGTGCCACAGGTGTTATGAGTCACTCAAATATAAGCGGAATTATCATCATGGTGTTATACTTAACTTTATCTTCCAGCTGTCTTTGAAACTGTCAAAGATGGAACCAACAGTACACGATAAAACACTAATCCGACGTTTGGTAGTGATTGCAAAACCTGAAGTAGATCGAATCCGATCACTGATACCTGAAAATACAAGGAAATTCCACTTCAAACGAGGTATTTTGCGAGTAAGGTACAATCCTCAAGTACCTTGTAGCCGATCACTGCTACCTGGAAAAATACCATTCCTATTTTGTACTCGATTCCAGTATCATGTATAGAGCAGAGCCAGTTTCTGGTCAGAGATTCGTCTTCATTAATCAGCGAAGCTCCTGTAAAATATCGTGATCTAACTAACTGACTGACTGACTGAGTTTAGTTTTACGCCGCTTTTAGCAATGTTCCAGCAATACCACCGCGGGGGACACCAGAAATGGGCTTTACACATTGTGCCCATGTGGGGAATCGAACCCGGGTCTTCGTCGTGACGAGCCAACGCTTTTACCACTAGGCTACCCCACCGCCCCGTGATCTAACTAAAACACTGTTCATGCTATTCTTCATCTATTCTTCAACCTACTGCAACACACGTGAAATATATAACTGAACCTATATTTTAACACAATTTGCGTAATTGTTCTTGAAATTCCATTCTATACCTCGTATTTGGCAAGTAAGGTGCCATGTCAACAGGCTACTTTGTGCGAGTGCTTCAGTTTTCATTTTACGTCCAGACCAGTTTCGCTGTTCCACCCCTTAAAACTCAAAATGCTATGATACGCGGTTATTATCACGAAGACGAGGACCTACCATAATAAAAAAAAGCCCGTGCTTACACATGATTGTTGCTAAAAGGGTTGGACAAGCCCTTGATACTATCAAAATATGAAGTTTTGTAACCTATCGGGCTTACACGAAAACAAATGGCATGCTACGCGCCTGACATTCTCTCTTTTCGTTCTTGCCAGACTGGAAAATGTTTTGACACAGGTATGACCTGCTGAATTCGTTTTAACTTAACGTTTGGACCATACCATCCCGTGGTGGACCATACCATCCAGTGGTGGACCATACCAT